AGTTTTCAAAGTATGTTACATTAATAAAAGTATTTAATGCATTTCTGAAACATCATCAAATGCTTTTTTATAGCACCTAAATGGATCAAAATGTTTGTTCTGGATGAAGCTGATGAAATGTTGAGCCGTGGATTTAAGGATCAAATTTACGAGATCTTTCAAAAACTAAGCACAAACATCCAGGTAAAAAACCCTTTTACATGGTTAAATTTTGATGGATGTAGATTTGGTTACAGTGTAGCTGGGAACTACGGGTAAATTGTGTAATTTAAAGTTGGTGTCCTAGGCATGTACTAACCCCAAGTAACATGTTCTAGGTTGTGCTGCTGTCAGCTACAATGCCAATGGATGTGTTGGAAGTGACCAAAAAGTTCATGAGAGATCCCATACGCATCTTGGTGAAGAAGGAAGAACTGACTCTGGAGGGTATCAAGCAGTTCTACATCAATGTTGAGAGAGAGGTTGGTATCAGTTGGACTTGCTTTGGCTGGAGGGAGTTAAGTTTACATTCTCTTCTCTTCTTGTTAAAGCACTGTGCTAAAATTACAGAAACCAAGGCTGAGCTTTGGTTTCTGTAATAATGCTAGCAGAGTACATGCAAGAAGAAGAAAAATCTGTGTATGCACTGGATCCAAAATGACTAGGGTGGACCTCTTTCTTAATGTCCAGTGTCCTGTGTCTTAAGATTTGGTGCAACAGTTGATGCAGAAACTTTGCTTGATCTCTTGTTCTAACTTTTCAGGTCCTAGCAAATATAATTGCACGTTAGAGTGTTGCTTGTTGCTTCTGAGTTTTATTTCTTGTTTAGGATTCTAGTAATGTACTGAACTCTGTGGTATGATGCATTTCCTGATCCATCTTTGTTCTGTTCAGGAGTGGAAGCTGGACACTCTCTGCGATTTGTATGAGACCCTGACCATTACACAGGCTGTTATTTTCCTGAATACAAGGAGAAAAGTAGACTGGCTTACAGAGAAAATGCATGCCAGGGACTTCACAGTCTCTGCTCTGGTAAGAACTGATACTTGTACATAATTTCAGAAATGACATGTACATACTGAAAAACGAATGAAAAGCAGGAAAGTTATAATATAGCTGTGCAGTGCTGTATTATCGTTCCCCCTGCTTAAATAAAATGCTTCCTTCTATCCCTACTTGCTCTGATCCCACAGCAAGTAGGGACGCTTGGTTTCATACATCACTTTGTTTTTTAAAGGATATTCCAGTGTGGAGTATTGGGGAACAATGGTAATCAGATCTCTTTTAACTCTCCAGCATGGTGACATGGACCAGAAGGAACGGGATGTTATCATGAGAGAGTTTAGATCGGGATCCAGCCGTGTCCTGATCACCACTGACTTGCTGGTGAGTATTCTCTTACACTGAATATGTTTGTTTGCATCTGGTGCCAAAAGCTTCATAACTCAGTGAAGGCTCTTGTAGCCTGAACTACTTGGAGCTTCTTGGAAGAGTAAAGACTACGCTCCACGATGGACTGCACAGTTGTAGTTCATAACTAACCATGTGGTCAACAAAAGCATGGGATAAATAAATTAGGGCCTGTGACTTTCATTAAAGACTCTGTTGTTTTTCAGGCTCGTGGCATTGATGTGCAGCAAGTGTCACTGGTTATAAATTATGACCTGCCGACCAATCGTGAAAACTACATTCACAGGTCAGTTGGCTCTGTCCTAGCTGCTGTGCTACACTGAGTGTTGCATCCTCTGCAGAAATCAGCACAAACCTCACCTGCTTTTCCCTTTAGTCCTTACCAGTACAGGAGGTGTTATGCATCCATTTGTACAGTAATGGCTGAAAAGCTGGCAGGAAATAAAACTAATTGTGATTTGGCTTTAAAAAAAGCCCTAACTTGCCAGCTATGGTTCTGAAATGGAGGAGGAGCAGAACTTTTGTAAAAAAAACCAAAACAAAGCAGTGGGAAAACTTAGATGTATGATTTCAGTGAGGGCTGATCTTTGCTGAGATCTGAGGAAATTGCCAGCTGCTGAACTATCTTTGTCGT